GGGGGGGGGGGGAGAGAAACGTTGATATGAGAGAGAAACATTGATCAGTTGCCTCCTCTACACACCCTGACCGGGATGGTCCACGGGACCCTTGGGTCCATGGGACAACGCTCCAACCAGCCACGGCACAAGTTTTTTAAACAACCGTGTAATTACAAGTAGACACGTACAAATCTTCAGATACACAGAAAAAAAAGACTGAAAAAATACCGAAATGTTGATAGCTAATACTTATCACCTAATGATGAGATTATGAGTTATATTTCTTCACATTGTTCTGCATTTTAAAATCTGTGAAACTGTATTACTTGAATAATTAGAAAAAATAAATATTTAAAATACAAATATACTCTAATTTTTTCTGTAAAATGCATTTAAGGAGATTAAAATAGGGGCTGGGGTCCAGCCCCAGCAGTCCAGGGGTCCCCGAAGGTGTGGATGGCGTTGGCAAAAAATGACAGAAGTATTCGGAGACCACGCTCAGAGCGTCAGGACAATCCGCTTCTCCCTTTACTGCCCTGTTACAACTGTGTTTATACTATTTGATTTTATTGCTGGTTAAACAACATGACGTCATGCTTTGTTCCGGTTTCCGTTTTGGCCTTTCACAGTTAATGAACGTACCTTCTTATCTGACCTTCGCTAAAGAATTTACATCTGTTTAGGTATGTTAATTTTAGTCTTACCTATTGCTTATATTTCTATCGGCTATTCTACAGGCTAATCTCTAGGTTGTTATTTATACTCGGAAGTTACTATTTTATGGCTCTGCCACAGAGCTAAAAGGAGAATAGCTCAGCCAGCTTTTCTTTGTGAAGGTGATGCGAGGCCTAAGGGAGGGCTCTGGAGCTTGCTGTGATTGCTTTTAGCTGCGGTGACTGCCCGCCTGCCTGGCACCCGCCTCAGCCTCTCCTGACACTCCCTGCAGCCATGGGGCAGATAAGGGAACTGCCCGCATAGTTTACAATGGCACTGTCTCGGTTGTTTCCCAAAGCCTTTTTCACCGTCTCACCTAACAGGCACCAAGGGGTCCTGTCCCCCTAGCCTCTCTAAGAAGCTTGGGGGGTTGAACCTGTGTCTGTTTGCCTTTTAATGAACTATGCGGCGTCCGTCATTGTGATATCCTGTGTATGGTAAGGGTTCAGGTGCAGATGGAAATGATCTCTTTCCTGGACTGCTCTCTCCTTGTGGGGATTCCCGGAGTTTTCCATGAATATGAACATCCCCCAGTAATCCATTCCTCCCTGGTGGCCTCCCTGCGGATGGCCCTGCGCCCCAAGTCAGCAGGGCCGGGACCCAGGCCTCTCCCTGGTGGAGCCTCCTGCGGTAACGGGCCTAACAAGCCCTAAGCTTTCTGCAGACAGTCTGAGTTCCTCATGAGCGGCAGGATTTTCCCGTGCTCCTTGGGGCTTTTACTGAATCATTGTCTTTTCCAGTCCCATCCGACCCCCCTGCCAGGGAAAAGTTTCCAGCTGGGGCAATGCCCTTTCCTGGTGCAGTGACTCGGGTAAGGACAGAGCGTCAGGAAGGGGAACAAGCATGGGAAGAGGGACATGCCACACGCCAAGTCCCACGGAGCACTGGCCGTGCAGATGCCTCCTCCTTGAAGGACCGTGTCAAGCAGCAAGGAGGGAACGGCTTCCGGCAAATAGGAAAGCACTAGACATGAGGTATGTGTGTGACAACCCTTTTTCTTACCCTTCTTACAGGAACTCTTTCCATTTTCTAATTTTTAGAGAGGCTGAGCCTTGCCAGCTGACCCTCACTGAGAATGATGTCTATGTTATGCATTTATGCTCTTCTATTTACTATTTTGCTCTCATTTTCCTTGCTTCTATTTCACTGTACTTTTCCTGACTTCTTAAATTGAATGCCCAGCTTACTCATTTTCAACCTTTCTTTTTTTATAAGCATTTAAGACTATGCATTTGTTGTTTCATGCTGTAGCTATATCTCACAAGTTTTGAAATGTATTTTCCTTATTATTCAGTTATAAAATATTTTCTGTTTTTCTTTATGATTTATGAGTTTTTTAAATGTTCTTTAAAACTCCCAAATATATGAATTTGTTTGTTGTTTTTTAATTGATTTCTAACTAAATTGTATTGTGATTGTAGAATGTGGTCTATGTGGTTGTGATACTTTGAACATTTTTGAGACCTGTTTTATGGCTAATATTTGTCAGTGTTCTATGTACACTTCCTGTAAATGCTGGGTGCAGGCTTCTGTATGTTTCTACTAGGTCCAGTGGTTAATTTTGTTGTTCATATCTTCATTATCTTTCCTTTTTGGTTGTTTGCTAGATCTAGGGTTTCTATAAGAATTAAATACTGTATATATGTACACTAATTTATATATATATGTGTGTGTGTGTGTACACACACACACACACACACACATATCAGAAAACAGTGCTTGGCATATGGAGGGGATTTATTTATCAGTCTTAAAATATAGTGACTTAAAGATATACTCTAGAGTCAAATTGCTCAGGTTCAAATATGAGCTCTGCCTTATTGGCTGTGTTACCCTGGTCAAGTTTACTTAACCTCTCTGTGCCTCAGTTTCCAAACCTGCAAAATAGGAATAATAATAGATTTGCTGTGAAGACTGAGCTAGTACTTATAAAGCTCTTAGAAGCAGGGTGACTTAAATCCAAACCCAGGTGCACTTGAAGCAGACTTGGAGTGACTGAAATCTGGAAATGCCACAGATACAACAGAAAAGGAATGAGATGGAGGAAAGTCATAGGGTCATAGCGACAGCATAGGGTCAGCGGTTTGGGGAGAGAAAGAAGGCAAAGGTAAGAGGTAGGCATTGCTAGACCAAATAGAGTATAAGAGAGGCCCACACTTCGTTTGGCACATGCTTGGAGACTGTGAGCCTAATAGCCATCACACTCAGGTTCCTAAGTCTCCAGCCTCTGG